GGAATATACTTGATGAATCTAAAATTACAACTTTTTTCAAGATTTAAATATGACTAGTGAGGCCAGTACCAATGCAAGCGAAAACGAGGATTAGGATATAGCATTCGCAATTTTATATATTTTCTGTAGCTGTCAATTGAGGGTTGGAAGTTTAAAAGTTTTTTGATATCTTCATAATGACCTCGACCTGTAGGAAATAAATCAGGAAACATTAAAGCTTCAAGATCTGGATTGTCGAATAAAATTGGAAAACGGCTCTGGTTATTTAATATTGAACCAGCTATTAAATGATTATAGTTAGAATCTTCGTCATGAATTTCGCAAGGAAATGAATTATTAGGAACAATTAAGTCAGGCAGATGCGGTGTTTCGTTGTGAAGTGTACTTTAACGGAGATTAGAAAAAGGAGTAGGATCAACAATCGATTGTCGCGCTAAAGGTAGCGGAAGAGGTATGGAATCACCTGGTCTCGGGTCAGAAATGATAATATCTGAAGCATATTTTTGGATGAGAGTGTTATTTTGTTTAAGCCAGTTTGAAGCTGGAATCAGAGAATTATGGAACCAATTCAGTAGTTCATTAGTGTTTAAATAAGCACCAATTAAGCCAGAGTAAAGCTCTAATAAACGATAATTATGAGAAATATTGATGGATCCTTTAAGGTAATGATAGTTGGTATAGTAATTTGAATTCGCGGTTCGACCTAATAAACAATCTAAATGAACAGGTGATAGATATCTTCTATGAAACATAGGGACGTCATTTATTTCAGAAGGAATAGAAGATAACAACGGAGGATAATGACGTGTTCTTTGATTTTTATAGCTGTTACAAACAGCTATTTGTTGATCATTTTTTCTATTTACTCGCAGAGGCAAATTAAGGTTAGGAAAAATTTGAGATAGCATATACGATTTATTCTGATCATAGGGTATCCATACAACAGCAGATTCTAGCATAAGCATCGAACAATGAGCGCAAGGAATACTTGGATAGTCAAATAATAGTTTGGTTTGAAATTGGTCTAAAAGATTTTTAAGACCAGGAGAAGGAACCCACAGAGGGAAATAATTAAACATCAAGAGAGATAAAGGGTCAATATTGGGTTGAGTAGAAAATCAGATTGGGTGGGTGCGTTTGATAGATTTTGATTTATTTCGTTACGATAAATGTACAGTTCGAATGATAAAAAAATGGATTGGGAATCCATAGAGTTATCATAATCATCCTGATAGTTTGTTATGGGTGGATTTTGATTATATTCAGACATGGGTTATTTGTGAAAAATTTATTGTTCTAGTGTGAAAATAGTTCAGAGAATAGTATTCTCACAAAAAATTAATCATTTTATTTATAGAAATATCAACAATATTTAATTTATTAAAGTTTAAATGATATACTTTGATAATCATAATAGAGTAAATATCTTCTAGCGATCATAGTCAGATCATTGATGTAATTTGTTTTCCAAGAATTCTTTGATTTTAATAATAGGAATGAAAATCAAAACAAAGAGACGATTAAAGACAAACAGCGAGAATATTTTTTTATTTGAGTGATCGATTCAAGTTGGATTGACGTAATCTATATTTGAAAATGTTTCTCATGTTAAGCAAAATATTCGAACATTTTTTTAATAAATAAAAAGAAATAATACATAGAAAAAATAATAGGATCGAAAAAAAAAATAAATAAATAATATTTAAGGATAACATATATTAATTTTGATCAATCAATTCAGATTCATCATTATTTGGAATTTGTGTAATAGGGGTTCAATTCTTAATTTGAGAGGCGACTTCTAAAAACTTATCGTTTAACGATTAACTATCACCATTCAGGGCTTTAGAGGAAGAGGCAACCGGTGGATTGATCCTAACTCTTTTTCTAGATGCCATTTTTTTTTTTTGTATACTTTTCTTCTATATCATCTAATTGATCGTCAAAATCATCTTGAGAGGGCGCATCTTTATTATTAGTCAAATTAGACACAGCTTTACCCAAATAGTTCCATTTTATATCTGATGCAACGATGTGAGGGATTTTTTTTGAACCTAATTTCAATCTCTCTACAACTGAAAGAACGGTTTTAGACAAATTATCTTTCAAAGCATTATACCTCCCGTGTTCATTACTGTAAGATACAATCACATTTGTATCTAAATTCTTGTGATCATTAACACTGTTATAAGACTTTCTAAACAATTCAAAACTTTTTCTACCACTATCATTATCGATATAAGAATCGGGTACTATAGGAGAAGAATACAATAACAAAGGAGCTGAATAGGGAAGATCATTATGGGTTAGCTCATCATTCTCGACAGACATAGGTATGCTTTGAATCAACGTGAGCTTAAAGATAAACAACAGAAGGTAAATGAAACATATTGCAGCAAGAAATACAAAAAAAAAAGTAAATTGCATTTACATATTCTACATTTTTTTCATATACATATCGACCCACCATCAAAACAATCTAGTTTTTTTCAAATTCAGTAATCAAAGAGTCCACATTATTCATATAACCTTTATAAGTAATTTGTCTGAAATTATCAAACGTAGTATTGATCCTATACAACGCAGTGCCGGTCAAGTAGTTCGCGTTTCCGCTAACTATTTAAACAAAACAATAAGAAATGAAGACAGACAACATTTTTTTTTTTATTAATTATGATTATAAAGGTAAACGAATGTCTTGTATTTTATTTTATTTTTTTTTTAATAATCTCACAAAAACAATTTGGTTAATAATCGAGTAAGGTGCTTATTTTTAATTATTATCCTAAAACGTAAAGGAGAACGATGATAATAAGAGAGAAGGAAACCTACAAAAAAAAAGAAACACCTAAGCAGCATTTATTAAAAAAACTAAGAGCATCGCAAAAGACCAATTGAAACAATTTACTAAGCATTCGCAGGAATCTGGTCAGATATTCATAACTTTTTGTATACACATTTTTTTTTCTCTTGATTAATTATTTAAAAAAGCTATAAAAAATCACTGCCATTAAAAAATCATACGCGATACTCAAACAAATAAGGAAGGATCTATTATACACGACGATAGTGATAGCAGAAATACCAACGTATCTATTAAAAAAGTATGCATATACGTGAACATCAAAATTAGCCACCAATATGAAAATAAAGCAAGCGACACAAAAAATACCATACTAGCTGAGGCTTCAAGCAATCGCCTTTGATATACAGATATTCATCGATAGACATGAAATCCAAAATAAATAAACCAACATACGCGCGGATACTCGTAAGCATATATCTGGTGATAAAAATTCGAAATACAATCGACAAGATGATCAAGAACAAAAAACACAACAAAGAAAGATCAAATTGTCACATCTTCAAGTTATAATAACAGATCGGACAATATTTTTACAAAACAGAGTGACTTTCAAACGCAATCGCAACGATCAACACGATCATCATAAGAAAAAGCCTGATCAACCAAAATGTAAAAAGAAAAAACACCTGTAAATCAACACTAACAAACTTCTTTATCAATAAGAAACATCATACAGAGCGTAATGAAGTGGAGCAGTATACAGCAACCACGAGCAGCATATATAGTGAAATAAGAAACATAAAA